CACACACACACACACTCACAGACTGCATCCCTGTGACCTGTATTCCACATCGTTACACGTCAGTTCGACTCATTTTTCCAGTGGCGCGGAGCAAGCGCGTTTTTGTTTAGGGGGGGTGGAGGTATTTGTAGAGGTTTTTATTTTTACGTTTTTTATAAGTCTTGGACAATTTGTTTTGTTTTGCTTTAGGAAAAAAAAAAAGCAGTGAAAGTGTAAATGCGTCTGTGCTGTGTTGCCATTACCCACTCGGATCGGGTCGGCCTTGAAGCTGCCTGTTTCCTTGTTTTTATCTAAATCGGGAAGAGGGGTGGGTGGGAGATGGGGGGCTTTAAAAGCATATTATATTTACAACCAATAATTCTCTATCAACCACCATAAGTTACATTTTTCTATCGACCCATTGTAAAAGCATCTCACTCTGAGCGTCTCTTACTACTCACCAGCACAATGGCACACACTTATTCCCCCCCCCCCCCCCCTCCACCCTCCTCTCTCCCTTCCTACCTCCCCTCCCTCCCATCCGTCACCAGTGCTGCATGTGTCATGCACATATCCCTCTATACTATAATTAACCTTCCATTCACGAGTGTGTGAGGGGCTGGGCCACGGACAACTACCCCATGAGACATGAGTCTGCCCGTCAGGGCGAGTCTACTTGAAAAGTTGAAGAATCCAGGTGGACGCTGTGTGTTGAAGAATTAATTACAATCTTTTGTAACCTTAAGATGGATATCCACCCGGAAAGAGAAAGTAGAAAGGAAGACCTAAAAGTACTTGGATGAAGGACTTGGAATGTTGTGTAATGTGAATGTAATGACTTTTTCTTTCCCAGACATTTGATAATAATGGAGATTATTTCATTGTGAGCAGGGACAAAATAACTTGTCTCCTACTCTGGGTTGTTTCTTTGCCCCTGAATTTGATTATGATATATCTATATATCTATAATCTAATAGAAAGACAGTACGGTCAGAGGGAAATTTTTTAAAAAGTTGGACCTTCCAGTGGCACCCTCCTGATGTTTAAGCTCATGCGGTGGGGGGGGGGGGGGGGGGGG